TGAGGAAGAATCAGCCACAACCTTGAGAGCATGACTTTTGTGGTGACTTGAGCCATAGAGATCTCTCTTTCTTCTTCTTGTTCCTCGTGGGTGTTTAGCCTTTCCATGATATCAGCAGAGTCGAGAATTTTGAAGGCAACTCATTCCCTAATCATAAAAACTAGTGTGTAAAATGAGTTGTCAAGAGATAGGAGCAGTTCCTTAACAACTTCGTGATCAGTGATGTCTTTGGCGCCGAGACCTTGTAGCTCGTTTGCAATGTCACTCATACAATCAAAAGTTTGCTGACAGCTTTCATTTCTGATTCGCTTGAACCGATTGAACTTCGCCCAAAGAGTGTATCAATGTGAGCTTCTTTCTGAGTTGAAACACCCTCATTTATCTTTTTCGAGAATGTTCCACAATTCCTTTGCAGTTTCACACTGACGATGTCGAAGAAATTGAGCATGAGAGAGATGGCCACCAATTTCATATTTAGCATAAGCGTCCATCTGAATGAGTTTCTTCTTGCGGTCAGTGGGGACCTGGGGTACTTCAACCGTGAATCTAGTATGCACCACATCCCACATATCATCATCAATAGCTTAGAGACGGATCTTCATCTCCTCTTTCCAGAAGGGATAGTCCGTCCCATCGAAGATGGGAATCTTGAGATGCGACTTGTAGCTCGCTGAAGACATACTTAAACTCTGAGGTGGTTAGACCAAAATGAGCAGAGTCAAGGAGTACCTTGATCTGATACCAATTGTAGGAATGAAGTATGTCTACCAGAGGGTGGTGAATGGGAGTTCTAAATTTTATTTGGAAATATCAAAACTCTCAGAACCCAACAGCAGAGTGAATGAAAATAGTGTACAGTGAGCGAATATAAACTACAGAATGGAAACTAAAAGCATGCATCGAGACAAATCACATGATTGAGACAGTTCGAATGTAAAGAGGAGAAGCAGAGATAACTAGTGATGCTCGATGGCAACAAGGAATTTGGTAGACCAGTTCGCCCTTCTGCAAAAGGACTACGTCTGATTGGAAGGGTTGTGATTTAACATAGAGGATAAACTCTCTTCGCCCTATTCTCCTCGACAATTGGTTCGTCAACCAATGCCGATCACTCATGGTAGATACTTGAGGCGATCTTCGAACCTTTATAGACTTCTTCTTCGAGAACCATAATTACTCTTAGTTTTTGAAGAAATTGACACCTAACCGTCTAGAGAGTTCGTAGCTCTCAAGAGTAATAGGCGGAGCGTACTGGACTTAGATTCGAGTAATGCTGAACCACTATCAAAATTTTCGGCTCTGAGGTTTTCTCTCGGTGGATTTTAAACTCAAATCACTCAGGAGAGGGGGTTGCTCAATAATCTTCTCACAATCAAACGGAGCAGCCACCGGACAACACTGGTGCGGGGTGGCTATTTATAGCCGTAGCCTTCCCTGGTGGGAAATGACCATTTTGGACATGTGGTCTAGCCAATGGCCAACCGACTGGTTCACAACGGTCGGATTTCAAGAGCAACGGTAACATTACTTGAGGACCAAGTAATGCTAACTCATCGGTCAGAGACAAATCTCTTGCAGCTAAGAACATCACAGTCTCTTGCTGGCAAGTATTTGCTCGGAACACAAAGAGATTTCTCTTGCAACTTTCATAGGATTTGGGTTTAGCATAAGAGAATCAAAGTTTCAAACGCTACACCCGTCTTAGTAGTATGGTGGTCCTATGACTCAATAAAGAGAAGGGAAACAACAAAATAAATGCTACGTCTTCACTTTGCCTTCAATCTTCTCGGTCGCAGTCACTTCCTTCGGACGAGCACTGAACCAATTGCTTCGTGTCAGCAATTTTTGAGGGGTCACTCTTGTTATCATAATCTTCGGTGATAACCTTCACTTCCATGCAGAGGATTATCTTCGGTGTTTGAATCAAACTCCTCTTGACTCAGGGACCTGTTACTCTGTGTGCACTAGCAAACAATAAGTCCCTTACTGTTTATGTCAACAAACTCCAAAACATAAGGAGGCAAAATATTGCACCAACACACTGGTAACCTCAACTCTCTTCTCCTCAGCACCCTGCATCTTAGCCTGCACATAGCTAAAACCTGGTACCCTGTCCTCCCGGGCATTGAGAAGTTGATGAACATCTTCAACTAGTCTGTCATAGTTGGCATCTAGATTCTTTTTCTCTTCTGTAAGGGGTGAATAGTAAGTGAACTCTCCAGGTTATCCTTCCTCCTACCACTCATGTTGTATTCATACATTTCACAAAGCTTCAACAATGCATTTTGCATTGTGGGAGGCCACTCTAGGTTAACCCACCCAAGAAAACCATAATTTTGACCTTCCTGCAATATAGCAAATACTTATATTGTTACTCTCTACAAAATTCCAATTTCCAAATGGCAAACTTTAAACATCAAGAAACATCACAACAACTATAACCTAGGCATGTGGCCAACTAAAGAATGATAATTCTACTGCAAGCTAAGCTCCAAGACAAATTCTGCTACAATAAACAATAAAGAACAACAGCTATAAAACACTCAACTTTGAGCACATACTCTAGTGAATCACCTAATTGCCTCAATTAAACAATCAGCATCTCCACTACTAACTAAGCTCCTGGCCAAATATAACACTAACATCTAGTGGCCAATTTAACTACACAGAAAAATGCATGAGCACATGCCTACACAACATGTTCCAGTGAGCATCAATACTACTAAATGACTAGACAATGAGCATCTCCACTGCTAACTATGCTCCTTGCCAAATGATTGCTTGTATCTGCGTTGGTAATTCCCCGAAGAGGAGAGGAGGATGCAACACAACAAACGTAAGTACTTCCCTCAGTTACAAACCAAGGTTATCAATCCAGTAGGAGAATCAAACAACACCATGCAAACAACACCTGCACACAAATAACAAATACTTGCAACCTAACACGTAAGAGGAGTTGTCAATCCCTCCTCGATATTGAGATAGATTAAATTGTGTGGGATTTGATAAATAGATCTGGCAAAAACACAAAATGAAAATTAAAAAATTGCAACAAGGTATTTTTGGGTTTTGATATGATAGGAAATAGACCCGGGGGCCGTAGATTTCACTAGAGACTTCTCTCAAAAAAATAACATATGGTGGGTAAACAAATTACTGTTGGGTAATTGATAGAAGAGCAAATAATTATGACAATATCCAAGGTAATGATCATGTATAGGCATCATGTTCAAGACTAGTAGACCGACTCCTACCTTCATCTACTACTATTACTCCACACATCAACCGTTATCCAGCTTGCATCTACTGTATTAAGTTCATGAAAAAGCGGAGTAATGCAATAAGAACGATGACATGTTGTAGACAAGATCTATTCATGTAGGAATATAACCCATCTTTTTATCCTTAATGGCAATGATACATGCGTGTCATGTCTCCTTCTGTCACTGAGATTGAGCATCGCAAGATCGAACCCATCACAAAGCACCTCTTCCCGTTGCAAGAAAAAATTAATCTAATTGGTCAAACCAAACCAAAGTTTTGGAGAAGAAATGCAGCCGGCCGACCAGAATTTTGGTCAAACCAAAGTTTTGGTTTATTTGAAAGACGGCCGGCCGGCCAGAATGTACCGTAGATCAATAGGAGGCACTTGCATATCCTCTTCCTTTCTCGACGGAGAGATTCGATAGACGATCTAGCAGGCGGTTGGCTGCCGGCGGCAGCCTCGAACGTAGAAGCAGATTGGAAAAGAAGCGATTAGATGAGATCTTTTTTGAAGGGGTGATTGGAGGAGATCTAAACTGTGCGTACGGGTGTATTGCTTTGGGCTGCTTCCTTTTATT